CATCAAAGTACCTGGTTAAGTATAGCACCAGTTCCAGTGTAACAACTAGGGAGTAGGTCTGCAACCTGTGCCCAGCTGCCACATGTTTTGATCAATCCAACTGCAATGAAGACATGCTTACCCAACCGGCCAGTGGAAATCCATAGTAAAACTCTAGAAGCTCCTCTGCTGTACTTTGACTTTTCTCCCCATTTTCCAAAGTGTTTTAGGATGCATTCTTAGGATCTTCTCCCGAGTTTGTTCTCCGTTTTCAGCATTTTTCAAAAAGTTGAGAAAGCAGAATATATAAAGGTCTCCAGATACCACTGTTTTCTGTATCTCATCCATTTTGTTTGTCTACAGCTAATGGGGTTATGTCCATAGACTTGAATTAACTTTCAAACAGCAGCCAAATGCTGACAATCATTGTAGGTTCGGGTAAGATGCAGAATTGGGATCTGCATGTAAAGCAGTGATAGCTGAAGTTTAAGCTGCCCACATTTATTTCAGGTGAGTATTTCACAATACTTTCCTATTGAAATGAAAGGAAACTTTCACATTTACTGCTACAGGAAGAAGATTTAAGTTGGAAGCCTCCCCTCTTGCAGCACAATAATCCATTCCAGGTTTCTCAAATATTTCAGTTACTTATATTCTCACATCTAGTGCAAGTTTGGTGAAAGATAATCCTGAAGTTCTCATTATCTGAGCAATGCAGAGCCCAGGTATTCCAATACATTATTAAACCATGCTTTGGTTTAGCCTTCTCAGATTTTGACAACCCTGAGTATGTGCACAAGAAAGCTGCTAAAAATTTCCAGGTCTGAAATGTTCTTGCTCAAATTTGTGCAGTGCAGCAACTACCCATCTCTATGGAACTTTAAAAGTATGCATCAAGACTTCTGTATCATCATGTTAGTTTATGGTTCTACTATAAAACAAAGCTGTTTAGAAATAGTGTACGATGGACACATGTGATGTTACCCTTGACAATGTGTCATCTAAACCATCCATTTTCCTGTCTCAAATCCCCTGGCCAACTTTTGCTTACACCTGATGTAACATTATCTAGTTCCCCAAAGACCCCAATATTAGGACATGACAAATACTTGACAATAGAAATCTAAACTGTTCAATACATCTTAGTGAGCAAAACGTTTATTTCAAAGCTCTGTTTCGAAATACTGATGACTTTTAAGGGCTGTAGCAATCCTGCACAGTGCAACGGTGCAATATAGTGTTTTGCAAATCTCACCACAGAGTTGATTCTTAAAATCAATTTGGATTTTGACACGCATATGTTGTTGAGATAAATCTAAGATTACAATATACAATTAATGGAATATGCTTATAGCAATGTCTGAAATGATCATGCAGCATAAGTGAAGCTGCAGATGGAGTGCAGCTATTTTCAGCTACTGCAAAATATGGACAATCTCTCCTGCTACTACAATTTCACGCACAGTTAGCTTCACCTCCATTTCATCCTTCTACATTTTACACACCAGCAGTACTCTGCATCTGACAGACTGAGGCTTAAAACTTGCAGCTGTCTGAAGCAATACTGTTTAAGCCAGCTTCCGAATTAGTCTGAAAGTGGATACAAAATCTCTAGAAGAGGAGCAAATAACCAAAATAATTTTTCCATTTTGCCCACAGTACAATTATGAAGCAATTGAAATGTTTCACTGGCCTGGCGTCAGCAGAAGTTTAGAGCAAGACAAATCCTGGGTAACAAGAGTACTTCACAGCTATTTTCAACAATGTCAATTCACAGAACACCAGACCAATAACAAGACCAGGATTAATAAGCATCTTTCAAGGACGTGGAACAGTTGAAATCTGTAAACATCTCATCTGAGGTTGCACTGATGCTATGCACAAAGTATTTTCAGGACTGGGTGTATTTCACAGTTCATCTGTGAAAAGTAGCAAAGATACTTTAATTTTTAATTCTCATTTCCAGCTCAGGTGCAAGTCATGCAATAACCTAACTCTTGCTTTCTCTAATGCTTTCCACATACAATGAGAATTAATTTACAATCCTGAAGTTTGTCCTGGAATTCTAACAGTTAGCAAGCCTGTCTGTAGCACAGACTACCAACATGCTGTGTCACATGATGGGAACAAATACCTACTCAATAAGGAACATCCTAAGTCCACTGGAATCGTGGTTCAGACAGAAAAAAGATCCATGTACTTTGAGAATGTTCCAGCACATAGTCACAGCATTAGCAAAACTCACAGCACCACGGCTCTGGAACTCAGCAACATCTAAGGTTTATGATCAGCAAGTCGGGTATCTTACAACTAGATGCAGGTTTTAAAAGTAAGACTAAAAATATTCCTCAAGCAAAAAGGTAGGAAAAAACCCTAGCCTTAACAACCAATTTTTAAGATGTTTAACATTCATTCATTCTCAACTATCAAATTTTCATTAGCAAGAAGATTTCTATGGTAACCTGAAAAAAAACCTAGGGAAAGGGAAAAAATACAGCAAAAGGCAGCATTCAGTTTTTCCATTCTGCATGCATATCATGAGAATACTACTTTAGCAAGAAGCTACTATAAATTATATTGGGAATTTTTATGAGAGTAGAATCTTAAGCTCAACTGCAGACAACCTACAACCAGCACTATGTTCAAAACAAGTCAATCCAAAATGTGAGGATTCTGAATACAACCTGGTAAGATAATATTTGTGGTCACCTCTCCCAACACCAGTGTTCTACTGGGTAGTCTTCAAGGGAAGTTACTCGGTACAAGCTTAAAAAACCAAATCCAACCCCAATCAGCAAATCCCTTCTGAAGCAGCAGCATTCAAAAGAACACTGGAAACGATGCTATAATCTAGTATTCAACTAATGTATAACCATCATGTTAGAACAGTCCAGGATTTCTACTCACACACACAGTACAGGAAGCTGGCATTCAAACCCAGATGTGAAAATGCATGAAAACAGTATCACACTCACTCCTAGAACTCAAGCTGATACTTAACGTGCTGGCTCCAAACCAAACCTCAAGTATCATTTGTATTAAATGTCTTCAAAAATGTCACGGAAGTAAGAGCAGAAAAAGTAATAATCAAGATGTACATGGAACTGTGCTATAGCAGCAAATTGTTCCTATTTACTGAAAACCACAAGCAGAGAATGAAACTGGGTAGGCCAACACAAAGAGATTAAAAACCCCCAAACTTATAATATACAATCTCTTGGTTCCTGTGAACATACAAGTTCTGGTTTATTGTGAAGGGATTTGTCAAACAACCTTGAGACCCCATCCAGCCCTATACTATTTGTTTCACTGCACTCAGCATGACTAAAACTGAAAAGTTCTGAGAGTAAAAATATGCCACAAAATGCATTTGATTAGTCTTACACAACAAGTGTGATTATCCACACAATGAAACCTAGTTCTGATTCAGGATCATCAGAAAAATATCTATTGATTTAGATTCTGTTGCTTGATCCACCTTCATGAATGCAATGTTTACAGTACAAACTAAGTTACACCCCTGCGTAAATCACTGATAAACGGAAAAAGACAGATTTTCTTTTTCCCTTCAGGTTACATGACAGAAATGCAACATAACTCTTCTAGTTTGTTTTCCCAACAAATGACAACAGAAATTATCCTGCTCCGCAAAGTCTTGTGCTACATCTTATGCACACTGAGGCAAAACTGTAAGAATATCACCTCAACAAAGAAAAGCATCCACTCCTCACACGAGGACAGGAAGCCTTGCTGCTGCCACCACAACTGTTACTGGTTGTGGTGCACAACCACAGCACAGCTGGAGACCCCTTCCTGGTTTTTCCATTCCCTTTTATTACATTGCATTAGATCTTATTCTGAAACTTTTCAGCTTTTGTGTGTATATGTATGTATAGATACGTACATACACACTGGAAGCATTTTCCAGAGACCAACTTTCCCTTCTAAGATTCAGATATCTAGCAAAGAAAAAGTCACAGATACCAAATCCCGTAAAGACTGTAGTGAAGTATTACTGCAAGCATTCTTTTGTCAATATATGAAACAGCACAATTTACAGTCTCACCTTAATAGTGTCTCAATATTAAGGCACTGATTATTAATTCTCTGCATGTCTCAAACGCTTCTTGATATTTAATATATTGAATCTCACACTGTAATCAGTGATTACGTTAAAAATTATAGGCAGACATTTTTTATTAAATATTATGTTGAATTTAATTGATGGGAGAAACCTGTTAGATTTCCTCATTAATTTCATGTTGTTAATTATTTAGCTCTTAGTCATTAAAAATTTCAGCATCTCTTCTTCCTGAAATCTCTACTTTCCTGATAAACAGCTGGTCTTCAATGGATTCTGGAGTAAGCTTAAATTACAACATACTTGAAAGCACATATTCTTTTCAAGAGTTCTGTAAAAATTCTTCCTTTTTGATCTACCTTAAGCAAGATAGGTATTTATTTACTACAGAAAAAGGAAAGGTTTTGGATTAGCCTAACTGACTGAAACACAGCATGGGCTCGGAGCAAGATCATTCCCAGTATTTCTAGCTGTTATGGAGCTGAGCTGTTCTCACTGCTGCAGAATGGAGTTGAGCTCTCCTGCTTCTGTCATGCTCATGCCACTTCAGAAGCTGACCTACAGAGCTTTGTTCCTTGGGACTGAACTCAACTATCCTGGCCATTACACTAGGGCCAATGATCAAGCAATAGCTGTGATCAACACCAGTCTCCTTATGGCCTTTTTGGTTTTTGCCCTCTTCAAACCCCATACATCCTTCAATTTAAAGCAGCTGGACATAGCTCCCATTAGTCACTTCACACTCGAGAAGGGCTGTCACAGAACCAAAGATTCCCCTACTCATACAGTGATGTTATTTTAGAGCAGCATGGCAAGCCTGCAAATCTAGACTCCTCTTGAGATTATAATCCAGATTGTCATAGATTTTTAAAATGAAAAGTTTCACAGACGTAACAAAATGTGTTAAAATATTTCACAAAGGATGTGGTCCAAAACTTACCTTTCTAGTTTCCAACTGAGCTTCTTCTTGGCAGCACTGCCTGCAGAATGGGTCCAGCTGATGCAGATTGAACTGTGCAAGAAGGCTGCAAGAACTGCATAGCAAGTTACTGGAGAAGCCCAGCTCTCTGCAAGCTTCTGATGACAACTGTGCTCCGTAGGCACTTATCTGCAAATCAACACAATGTTATACTTCAGTATTAAATTAGTTGTTTAAAAAAGGAAGGTTTAAAAAGCTTTAATAATTAGGAAGAACAAAGTCTCTGCGACTCTTCTACAACAACACCTAATGGACTGCTCATGAGTGCAAAACAACTTATTTTGAAGAATGGCCTTTAACTAATAGCGAATTCTAGAAACTCATAATACACGTATTTCAAGGTATCACACCTGCTTAAATTCACTTATATACACCTCTGATAAGTCTACTGTTTTCCTGCTGCTAGCTCCAAATTAAGAAAACCCCAAATATAATGGAACAGCTGAAATGCACATGGCTACAGCTCTCTAAAGTCTGCTCTTTCAAAGCAATTAGAGTAAATTTCATATCACCAAAACACACTTGGAAAATAAGCAGAGAAAGCACAACTAGGGAGTCATGAAACAGAACAAACAGCTCAACAAGGCATACAAGTAGGATTTTAATTTCATGTTTGCATTAATGTTACAGGAAAATTGTGTACTAAAAATGAAAGTGTAGATAAAACCCTGCAATTCTGATTTACTAGTAATACATTAAAAGAGGTAACTCAATTAGATGGCTTCTCTGTACAACACTGGTTCTGTTTTTAATAAGCAGCAAAAACAATTCTACCAACTATCCCAGCACTTAAATGATATTTGGGTTTTGTTTTCCCATTCCCATTTCCCTACATAGGCATTTGGCTTAAACCCTTTCCTTCCAGCTGTATGCTTGGGTGGAGTTGGGAGATGCGAGAGAGGAAATTAGGAGGGAGAGGAGACAGTTTTCCCTGAGATGCTTTTCAGTCTGGTTGAAAGACCTTGGGCAAACCCCATGTCTAAACCAGAAACAAAACAATCAGCAGGCAAATCCGTGCTCAGAAAAGTGACACAATACAAGCCAACAGGACTGGATGTTACCAGACCAACAGAATTGTGCTGGACCAAACAGAAAAATAGAGAAGAAAAACTAAGTCTGTCCTTCAGCAAATCAGACTTCTCTTCACATTCACCCATCATTTAATATTTACAGCATACTCGAGTGAGGTAGAGACAGCCCCGTTTCCTCCCCTGAAGTGGCCAACACAAAGCCAAAGGAAAAACATCTGATGTGAAATGTAACGGATTAAGAATTAGCAGGAAATATACTAGGTGCCTCAGTTAAAGCATGAACAGAAAAGTATAATATACAGAAAATTCTGGTTTTCTTCTTCTTCCTACAGGACACTGCTGAAGTTATTTCTATATTCTGTAAGCACAGAATTCTTTGTTTTTATGAACAAAAACGGGGCCCTATTTTACTGGAATAATCTATTATTTATCTTTTCTGAGGGATACTGGCGATAAGGAATCTAACACCACCACAGCAGTACAGAAAACCTAAGGAGGATGCCAAGCACTGCCAAAGCTACACCTCAATTCTTGTTCACTCGTATCTTGTATAACCTCATGTCTCTGGAGCTGAGGTGGGTCAGAACTTTAAGGGCATTGGGTGCCCTAAAATAGAGGGCTGATGTGTCAGGAAAACCTCGAGGGACAGCCTCGAGGCACAACCTTCAGGTAAAAACTAAACTCCACGTACCTTCACTTTCCAAACCTATTCTTATCTTTATTGCTAAGGAAAACCCGGGTCACGAAGTTTATACCAACACACAAATCCCTTTAAGAACGACCGAGGGAGCCTGGAGATTTATGCCAAGAGCCGCTGCAGCACCCACACCGCGTGCCGCTTCCCCAGCTAACAGCAAACCGGGGCCGAGGCGAGGGTTCACGCTTAAAAATGCGGCTTTCGCCGTCGGGAGGATCAGAAGCAGCGAGAGCGGGAGGGAAAAAGGCAGCAGCCGAGCACACCCGCTGACAAACAGAGCACAAGGAGCGGCCACGGAGGCAAAACACAGACGAAGCACAAGACGACGCCTCAGGGATGGGATGGGCAGGGCAAGGCCCGCTGCCT